AGGAAATAACTAAGTAGTAGGAGATTAATATGATGAAGATAGACCCGGGGGCCATAGGTTTCACTAGTGGCTTCTCTCGAAAGCATAAGTATTCTACGGTGGGTGAACAAATTACTGTTGAGCAATTGACAGAATTGAGCATAGTTATGAGAATATCTAGGCATGATCATGTATATAGGCACCACGTCCGAGACAAGTAGACCGACTCCTGCCTGCATCTACTACTATTACTCCACTCATCAACCGCTATCCAGCATGCATCTAGAGTATTAAGTTAAAAACAGAGTAACGCCTTAAGCAAGATGACATGATGTAGAGGGATAAACTCATGCAATGTGATGAAAACCCCATCTTGTGATCCTCAATGGCAACAATACAATACGTGCCTTGCTGCCCCTACTTTCACTGGGAAAGGACACCGCAAGATTGAACCCAAAGCTAAGCACTTCTCCCATTGCAAGAAAGATCAATCTAGTAGGCCAAACCAAACTGATAATTCGAAGAGACTTGCAAAGATAACCAATCATACATAAAAGAATTCAGAGAAGATTCAAATATTGTTCATAGATAGACTTGATCATAAACCCACAATTCATCGATCTCAACAAACACACCGCAAAAAGAAGATTACATCGAATAGTTCTCCACAAGAGAGGGGGAGAACATTGTATTGAGATCCAAAAAGAGAGAAGATGCCATCTAGCTAATAACTATGGACCCATAGGTTTGAGGTGAACTACTCACACTTCATCAGAGGGGCTATGGTGTTGATGTAGAAGCCCTCCGTGATCGATGCCCCCTCCCGCGGAGCTCCGAAACATGCCCAAGATGGGATCTCATGGATACAGAAAGTTGCGGCGGTGGAATTAGGGTTTTGGCTCCGTATCTGATCGTTTGGGGGTACGTAGGTGGAGCAACAGGGGCCCCACTAGGGTGGAGGGCGCGCCTGGGGGGTAGGCGCGCCCCCCTACCTTGTGGCCTCCTCTTTTGTGTCTTGACATAGGGTCCAAGTCTCCTGGGTCTTGTTCGTTGAGAAAATCACGTTCCGAAGGTTTCATTCTGTTTGGACTCCGTTTGACATTCCTTTTCTTTGAAACCCTAAAACAGGCAAAAACAGCAATTCTGGGCCGGGCCTCTGGTTAATAGGTTAGTCCCAAAAATAGTATAAAAGTGGATAATAAAGCCCAATAATGTCCAAAACAGTAGATAATATAGCATGGAGCAATCAAAAATTATAGATACGTTGGAGACGTATCACAAAGAAATCCAGATTTCACAAGAGAACCAAGCACATCAAGAGACGCTTCAATTCCATCCGCGATCAAGTCAAGGAGGGAGACATAGAGATTTGCAAGATACATACGGATCTGAATGTTGCAGACCCATTGACTAAGCCTCTCTCACGAGCAAAACATGATCAGCACCAAGACTCCATGGGTGTTAGAATCATTACTGTGTAATCTAGATTATTGACTCTAGTGCAAGTGGGAGACTGAAGGAAATATGACCTAGAGGCAATAATAAAGTTGTTATTTATATTTACTTATATCATGATAAATGTTTATTATTCATGCTAGAATTGTATTAACCGGAAACTTAGTACATGTGTGAATACATAGACAAACAGAGTGTCCCTAGTATGCCTCTACTTGACTAGCTCGTTAGTCAAAGATGGTTAAGTTTCCTAGCCATGGACATGTGTTGTCATTTGATGAACGAGATCACATCATTAGAGAATGATGTGATGGACTAGACCCATCCGTTAGCTTAGCACTATGATCGTTTAGTTTATTGCTATTGCTTTCTTCATGACTTATACATGTTCCTATGACTATGAGATTATGCAACTCCCGAATACCGGAGGAACACTTAGTGTGCTATCAAACGTCACAACGTAACCGGGTGATTATAAAGATGCTCTACAGGTGTCTCCAATGGTGTTTGTTGAGTTGGCATAGATCGAGATTAGGATTTGTCACTTCGATTGTCGGAGAGGTATCTCTGGGCCCTCTCGGTAATGCACATCACTATAAGCCTTGCAAGCAATGTGAGTAATGAGTTAGTTACGGGATGATGCATTACAGAACGAGTAAAGAGACTTGTCGGTGACGAGATTGAACTAGGTATGATGATACCGACGATCGAATCTCGGGCAAGTAACATACCGATGACAAAAGGGAACAACATATGTTGTTATGCGATTTGAGCGATAAAGATCTTCGTAGAATATGTAGGAACCAATATGAGCATCCAAGTTCTACTATTGGTTATTGATCGGAGATGAGTCTCGGTCATGTCTACATGGTTCTCGAACCCGTAGGGTCCGCACGCTTAAAGTTTGATGAAGTTATGTATTGTGAGTTATATGATTTGATGTACCGAAGGTTGTTCGGAGTCCCGGATGTGATCACGGACATGACGAGGAGTCTCAAAATGGCCGAGACATAAAGATTGATATATTGGAAGGTTATGTTTGGACACCGGAAAGGTTTCGGATAGGTTCGGACATTTTCTGAAGTATCGGGGGGTTACCGGAACCCCCTGGAGGGTTAATGGGCCTTCATGGGCCTTATTGGAAGAGAGGAGGAGGCGGCCAGGTGGAGGCGCCCTCCCCAAGCCCAATCTGAATTGGGGGGGGCTTTCCTTCTCTCCCTCTTTCTCTTTCCTTCCCCTCCTAGTTGGACTAGGAAAGGGGGGAACCTACTCCTAGTAGGAGTAGGATTCCCCCCCTTGGGGCATGCCCCATGAGGCCAGCCGGCCCCTCCTCCCCTCCTTTATATATAGGGGAGGGGGCGCCCCATAGACACACAAGTTGATTTCTTAGCCGTGTGCGGTGCCCCCCTCCATAGATTTCCACCTCAGTCATATTGTCGTAGTGCATAGGCGAAGCCCTGCGTCGGTAACTTCATCATCACTGTCAACACGCTGTCGTGTTGACGAAACTCTCCCTCGGCCTCAACTGGATCTAGAGTTCGAGGGATGTCACCGAGCTGAACGTGTGCAGATCGCGGAGGTGCCGTGCATTCGGTACTTGATCGGTTGGATCGCGAAGACGTTCGACTACATCAACCACATTACTTAACGCTTCCGCTTTCGGTCTACGAGGGTACGTAGACACACTTTCCTCTCTCGTTGTTATGCATCTCCTGGATAGATCTTGCGTGATCATAGGATTATTTTTGAAATATTGCGTTCCCCAACAAGGACAACTAGTACAGAAACCAAGGTTTCCCAAAAGATGCACCAGATCATCGCCGTTTCAGATCGATCAGTCACATAACACGGCAACATCACCATCCCAACTACAAACTAAACAATATTCCACCAATTTCCATAGAGCGACACTAATTCTTGATAAATAACATCCAACTACAGTTGCTAGAGATGCATATACGAGGATGTGAACTTGGTGCCCTCGGAGACAGCGTGCTTTGCGAGCTCTCCACGGAGGACGAGGCGGCAACCATGGCCGAGAGGTGGAAGAAACCTAGATGACGAGGGGACAGGCGGAGAGGCGAGGCGAGGACTTACAGCCGGGGGTATGCCGGAGGAGATACGCCGACGTCGAGGCAGCGGGCGACGGCGTCTTGAGGAGTCCGACGGTGGCGGCGGCATGTTGAGCAGGCGGCGAAGCATGTTGAGCGGGGGGCGGCGGCGTTGTCCCCTGCAAATCCCCGAGTCCCCCCTCGAGGGCTGAAAACCACGTGGAAACATGGTATCAGAGGAGGCTCAGAGGGGTTTGGGCCGTGGAATCCTCGCGTATCAAAAGGGCCTTCGGGGTTTTGCGTGGTTTCTGGGCCACGCGAGGAAAATCCGCTGAAACCCCCCCGACCCGCTTCTACCAAACGAGGCCTAAAGAAGATGGCATGAAGCCCATCAGGCCCGGGCGCCTTCATGTCACCTATTTGAAATAGTGCCTTCTTTACTTCCTCTTGCGTATACGAAGCGGTTAAGATCTTGTTCATGTCCTCCGTAACCAATGACTTCACAATAGCTATCAACCCCTTATCAATCACACATGTGTTTGAACGGAAAATACTCTGGAAGTAGTAAAAAAATGAGGAGTTTGAGGTTATCATTACCCTCAATCCAATTGTTATATTATCTTTCAGATTCTTTATTAAATTACGACGCCTACGAGCAGAAGCAAGCTGCTTAAAATATTTGGCGTTCCGATCTCCCCTCCTCAGCCAGTTCACCCGTCCGCGCTGCGCCCAGTAAATTTCCTCCAGTTTAAGAAGGTTTTCAATCAAAAGTGTGAGATAATTTGGCTTCACCTTTGATTCAACCGTGTATTCTCCTTGCGTCAACTTCTCCAGTTCTTTTTGAGCCGCTCTTAGGCGCTAGCGGGAGCCTTTAGTACGCTCTTACTCCCTCCGTCCGTGAATAAGTGTACATCTAGCTTTTGTCTTAAGTTAACGTGTTAAAATTTCGACCAACTTTCTAAGAAAAAGTAAAAGCATTTATAGCACTAAATTAATATCACTAGATCCGTTTTGAAATGTACTTTCATAATATATCAATTTGATGTCATATGTATTACTATTATTTTCTATAAAGTTGGTCAAAATTTTAAAATTTTGATTAAGACCAAAAACTATATGTACACCTATTCGCGGACGGAGGGAGTATATTTCTTTAGGAAGATACTACTAGTTAAACCACGGCGAATAGGGTTGTCATCACGATAGTGCGAAAACCAGGGGGTTCGTCGCGAAACATCGGTTGTTCACTTCATCCCTAGACTACTTCCAAAACTGCGAAACGGCCCTTCACCGAAACTCAGATCCCGCCGTCACAAATTCCATCGAGCGGGAGACCTCCGAAATCCGAAAATTCCCCAATCCTCTTCCAACCCTAGCCCCCTTGCTTCCTCCCCCCTTCCCCTTCCCGCTTCCAAGCACCCTCACCGCCCGCGGTCCACGCCCATTGGATCCCGAGCCACCATCCCGCAAGAATACCTCTTCGCGCCCAGTAACTTCGTTGCCAGAGGGGGAGTCATGGAGGACGGCAGCGGCGGCGCCGGCGCCGGCGGTGAGGGGAGCACGAGCGGGGGGAGGTTCCCGATACTGCAGGCGAACCGGGACCCGGAGTCGAACTGGGAGGTGGACGTCGCCAAGAGCCTCGAGGAGTACCTCCTCAAGATCTGCTCAGGCGAGATCTCCGCCGAAGACGGGGCCCACAGCTTCAACTTCGCCGAAGGTATGGCTGTGTGGATGGTAACCGTGTTTCTTGCGGCGAAGGCGTGGGCTTTCTTTTACGGGTGGCGCAGTGTGCCAGGATTTGTTTGAAAATTGGGAGGGTAGAAAGACTAATAGTTGGAATTTGTGTGCTTTTTGGGTGGTTTTATTATTTTGCTCGAATGAGCTTTAACGAAGTAGCTTCTTTTCGGTGGATTTTGTGGTTCTTCCCCAGGTGCTTACAAAACCTGGAACTCCTTTTCTTCTTCTTCTTCTTCTTCTTCTTTGCGAAGGCTTCTTGAGGCCCATGCTAATTAAATCAGGGATTTTGCACTGAAAGAAAGTTCCTTTCTTCTTGTAAACCCTTCTACTGCGCTGGTAATATGTGGCCACTTCATGTGCAGCTGCGCTATTGCTCCAAGGTTCAGTTCAAGTTTACAGCCGCAAGGTGGAGTACCTGTACTCATTGGTGCTACATGCGCTGGAATTTCTCTCGCAAAATAAGTAAGGATATATCAGCTTTGTCTTAGCCTTATCTGTATATGCTACCTTGCTGAGACTTGGACGTTGCACATCTTAAATGAAATGGGCCTCAAACTGCCAGACAGTGACATATCTGCTGGCAACTATAGCTTTCTTGCACATCTTATTTCAGAGCATGACATGTCAGGTTAACAATAAGGGCCCTGATTTAGGGAGCTATAGAATTTCTAAACTAATTAACTATGTTAAAATTAACGGTGCAGAAGCAATTGTTGGTGTCTGCTAGATATAAACCCTAGTAGAGTTTGTGCTTTCAGATTATCTCTTATATATCTGGTTTGTGTCTGAAACATCAGCCCTTGTTTGGACGGTTGCCAAATTACGGGCCTGCAATTTCCTCTTTGACCACCCTAGTGCATTTTTTGCGAATAGTCTAACATTTGAACTATACCAGGCAAGATCAACAAGAAAAGGGATCTGCTGAAGCTAACGAAAATGGTCCTAGCACTACTGCCAACAAAGAAGATGATATGTTTATGGGTTTAGATGATGTCCCAGGTAAGTGGACCTTCTGCGGTTTTACCAGTCATATGTTTACTTCAAATGACATGAAACCAAGCATATATCGCCCCTTCTAAATTGCCAGCGGAAACAAGGACCACTTTGGATAACAACCTTGACCAGGATGATCTGCGAAGAAAAATTGTGAGGCCACCAGCAAATCTTCTAGTGTTCGAAGGAGACTGTGTCGATAGCGAAGCAAGCGAACTGGATTCATATTTGGTAATCCTGCATTTCTTTAATTGCAACTGAGACTGGTAGCATGTACTGCCGTACTAAACTAGTCTAGTTGTTTCTTTATTGCAGTTAGCAACATGTGGTTTCTTCGGAGATTTCCTCCTGCTGGATCCATGTGACGCACCAGCTGTTTTTGAATTTTTGCAAGGAAAAAAATCATGCAAAGAAGATATTTTGGCTCATAGACGAACTCCTGGGAAAGCCCGAAACAATGTCTTCACTTCCCCAAATGTAAGATCAGGGGGTACTGCTCGTAGACGAACTCCAGGGAAAGCCCGAGATGAAAATATAGATCCAACTCAGGACAGCGAGCAATCTCATGAAATGATAGCAGATCAAAGTCAAGAAGATAGCTGGCCTCATCATCCTGTTGACCACAATTCTCCTATCATCATGCCCCCACCAGATGATGAAGACCCTGGGTGCCCAGATCTTGGGGATGATTCTGATGATGAAGATCCATATAAATCTTTGGATCCGCATGAACCTAGCAACCTAAAGATCAAGCCTTACAAGAGAGGTATTGGAAACTGTTGTTTCCCCTACAAGGATGTTTTATTTCCTTGTATATTATCTCCACTAACTATATATTGAACCTTCTTTCTTGATCTGTTTGGAACAGTAAAAGCTTTTTCAAGGCAAGTTATTGGCGCTCCAAAGAAGAAAACCCTTGCATCTATATTTCCTGTGGCAAAAATGGATGGTGTTGTTAGTCCTGAACTAACAAAATATTTTGAAGTACAAATGTCTCAGCAGGAAAAACCTGATGTCTCCCAGTCAGTTCCTCTTTATGAAAAGGTGTTCAGCATTGTTACAAAAATGTGCTATTTTGATTAGGTACGTCAGATATGTTCACGTAGTAACTTGTTGCAACCCATTCATGCTGCAGCTTAGAGAGTCATTTGAAACTGGTGAAGTAAATTGCCATATATCTGGAGATTTGAAGGATGACAAACAGACCAATAATTTTGATGATATTGATGGGCCAGACACCCCGAATGATCCATATGTTGACATGGATATTGATGATGACATGCCAAGTTACTCAGATAAGGTTGATTTTCTTTAGCTTTCTATTAGTTGATCGCTGTCTTCACTGACCTAACAATTGGCTGACATCTGCTTGCTATACGTCTGTTTAGATTGATGATGACGTGGTTCGAGTTACGCAGGACAGCATGGATGGACATAAAAGCCTTGATGATTTGTGTCGATCACATCTGGTAAGTCATACAGACCACTAATAGCTCCATTCCCTTTCAAATTTTGCGTAGATGCATGAACTTTCCTCTATTTTTATTTGCAAGCAACTTGCGCCATGTAAGTTGCCAAAATATATGAGATGTCCAGGTTCACTAGTGTCAAGCTGTTTGGAATAGCTGTTCGGAATAGCATGTTATAGGGGTTAGCTAACATATCATCTAACCATTTTGTTCTTTTCTTTGTAACTTTATCTTGTCTGATGATAATTGGAGTTTGTAGCCAATATTCTTGAATGATGTGTCTGAAAGAATAACATTATTAACACAAATTCCATTCAGAAATTTGCTGCTATGTTGGTGCTAAACTTGTTCAACGAAAATGCTACATTGCTGTCTTGCAATTACTTCATGTGTCTTCACTTCTCATATATTCGGGTGTTAAGGCATGCCATTTTTGTCTTCTCAAATAGATGTGGTATGCTCGAAGCCAGCTACAGGTTGATCTGTCACAGATTCAATGAATTGCTAAATTTAGCTATTGTGATGGCTGATTTGTTCTGATACATCAGTATTTCATCACTCTGACGTGACTTGAAGTGCTTGTTGTATCCGATGAGACCAAATGGCATTTAGATATTCCTATTATCTCAGATGTTTCTTTTATCCTATACCACATGGCATTTAGGGCACTGTTTGTTCAGCCAGGGCATTGTGTCCTATGGGTTGTCTGGTTTCTGATACCACATGGCATTTCCATACTTTTCTTGGCAGATGTTGTCAAAGCACAATACTTTTCAAAATATTGGTTTTGAGAAACAGAATTCCGATTGCTAGCTAGCTACTTTTGGATTGTGTTTTGAATTTTATGTTAGCTGTTCAACTTCCAATACTAACATGGATAACTCTCACAGGATGCTCTCCTTGCTAGCATAGCTGAGGCTGAACAACAAACCGAGCTGGATGCACGAGTTTCAACATGGAAAGAGCGAATAGAGCTTGCCTTGGAAGAGCAGGTTTGGTTGCATGATTGATCTGCTAACTGTTCTGCACATATGAACTTGCTTCACACTCACGAGTGCTACAATTCATGCCTTTTCAGGATAGAAACCCACCCTTTGATATTGGTTTATATGGAGAGCAGATCCTTGACACACTCTCGTCAAGAACTGATACAGGGATTGCATCATTCAGTGAGATTGTTAGCAGCAAACCAAAGTACGAGGTTGCAAGAACATTCTCTGCCCTTCTCCAGCTGGTAACCCCCTTTATCTTTGTGGTTGTGTTTTGACGCGGCACCAGACGACCCTGAGCTTCACTCTTATTTTAGGTGAACGGCAGAAGTGTTGATCTGGACAAAGGACAAGCTACAAATGACTTGGTTTGCTACACAGCTGTGAATCCATTCCATGTAAAGCTGATTGGTCCCAACCGTAGACCAGAGATGGAGGCACGTTTCGCACGCAAGAGAGTCAAGTCCCCTCAAAGAAGTTGTGGTGAAGAGGGCGAGCCCTCTCGGGTACAACCAAATTCGTCTAAGAAGCAGCCACCTAAAAATGGCAAGGTTTCAGTTAAGGCAGCAGTCAGATTGACTCCTGAAGGAAAGCGAAGGCGAAAGTCTGCTCAACTGCTGCAGCCATTCAATCTGGAATCCAGCTGATGCGCAGACTGACCTTAGCAGTCTAATTTTTCTCTTGTATTGTTGAGTGTCTAAGCCTCCCCCCCGAGGAACATTGTTGATTGTCTAGCTGATGGCAGTGGTTGATAAGAAGGGTGAAGTATTAGGTTATGAATTAGGGCCTAGCTAGAGCGCTAGATGGTGTATATGTACAATTGATCATTGTGCTGTTATGTATGTATATTATTGATATCGACCCAAATGTAATGTTTACTGGCAACGTTTTTGGGCCAGAATTGCCCCTGTATCGGGCGGATACGATTGTTTGATATTCTAATTCAGTAGTTGGCATTTGATGACTGGGCTCATAAGGTCTATTCTTATTTGTTAATGGAATGACACAAGTGCTACTTTACATTATGATTGAAATTTGCTGAAACAGGTGCAAGTAAGGTAAAACGATAGATTGATCAAACATGGGTGCCAGTGAATCCTGTATGCAAAAAATAATTTAGTAATTGTAAAAAATCCACAATTTTTTTGGAATCAAATATGGTATTGTACTTGTATAAAAAGATTCATCAAGGAATGACTTCCATGGTATTCCAGGCGAAAATAAATTAATCAAAACACTATATACTCTCTCCATTCCATTGAATAAGGCATGCATGTTTACCAAAATCCAGCTTTGACCATAAATTAAATCTATAGTATATATTTTTATGACTTAAAAATTATACCACTGAAAACTTCTATTCAATATAAATTCAACGGCATAATTTTTATCTCATAATTATTGAGGTGCGTGCATACACGTCTTATTCATTGGAATGAAGGGAGTAAAAGTATAATACTTATCATATTTGATTTCAAAAAAGTTTCAGATTTTTTCGACTTCTATGCAATTACTACTAAATTATTTTGCGCATATAGGGTGTGCTAGCACCCAAGAGCCATAAGATCTTGTCAAGCTTTCATGCCAGAATAGCATTCATTGAAATCGCAAGTCGGTTTCTCGCTTCTGCCTCGGATCAATAGTCGTAACAGGATAAACGCAACACAACGAAGAAAATGTCAGAAAATAGAACCATTGTCACATACATCAAGCTGATGCTCCGTTCCACAACCCCGACTGTTTACCACATACTACCACGACTGACGCGCACACTTCTGTCCACAGGATCTACCTTTGGACTACAATCACTTCCGGTTCCAGAAACCAAGGGCTACAAACCACACCGTATGCCATTATTTATTGGTGAGAAGATGGTAGAGGGCCGCCGCCTCCCCGAGCCGCCGCAAATTGTCCTCCTTACGAGCTTCAGTGTGACCATTTCTTGCAGAGACAAGACAAGCCAAGCCGTTAGTCAAGCCAGTGAATCAAAAAACAGTCTGGTCCAGTTAGCCATACTCTGTTTCACTAGTACTTTTCCAAGGATGTTACTGTTCTCTCTTTACCTCTTGTCGAGCTCCACCTTCTTCTCAAGGCCTCGCACCATACTGTCCAGCCTTCTTATGTGGTGCCCCAGGGCCCCGGCGAATCCGCGCCCTTCTTCCGACTCGCACAGCTTCTTCAGAATTTCACATGCGATGAAAAACATGTCCGTTTTGTTCCTGAGGGCAACGACAGAGAACATATCATCTCAGGAATTACAGGCTCATGAATCAGAACAAAAGGATGACTCAAGTTCAAATTTCAAAACTGTGAATTCTCAATCTCGCAGGTTGAAAGTGAACACCTGGCTTTGGGAAGACAGAGGCTGCAGTGACAAACTACTTAAACATAGGGAAATTTTATAATGGAACACTAGCTTCAGTGGAGCTTCTGTTTTGAGTATGTAAAAAATGCGCTGGGCACGGTCCTTATTGTGTAATCATGTCATGTGAGTGAGCAAGCAATTAACTACCAGAAAGAGCAAAATGATAAGTACTTAGGAGTTAAGAGTAGTCGAAAAATGAACTCAATACTGAGAGAAATTACCGCAGCAGCTCCTGGAAAATAGTGTTAACCAATTGTGGATTGTTAGCTAACACCGGTCGAACATTTGGGAATCGTGCAATGTTCCGCAGTGTATAGAGTACTTGCTTCAAGACTTCCTGGTCAGGGATCCCACGGTTAAGTTGAGGGATTTGCTTCAGAAGAATGTCTACAGCACCGGCATCAACAAGTGTCGCACAACACTTCTCAGAAAGCTCTGTAGCAATACCTGGAGGAGAAACGTTACAGATATAGTAAACCGCAGGACTTCAGAAGCAAGTGCCCAGTAAAGGATCAGAAAACAGTACAGTCCTAAGGATGTCAAGGAAGCCAATATGAAACAAAGAACACAACAACACTGACATGAAACCAGGCTAGAGAAATACTCCAAAAGGTAGTCTTAAAGAATATATATTTACTTAGTGTCGTGCAAGTTTGTCGAATGCTGCTGATGCTTCTACATCCAGTGATTTGTGACAGCGCAGCAATTAGTCTATTGATCAGGCGCATGTCATCATCAACTTGTGCAGAAGCCTTCTGAATTCTAGACCTTATGTCAACAACTTCTTGCTTTGAAGCTTTCCTCACATGGTATGCTTTGACAAATGACTGCAAGATTCAAGTGGTAGAATGTCATGTGAAAGAAAATGCACCATTGCACACTGACACAAGTTCTTGAAGAAACTGGAATATCATATGAAGAAAAAACTTGAATCGTTTTTGCAAAGAAAAGGAAGTGTACTCATGTAAGAAATCATATGGTTGGATGTTGGTCATGACCTGAATAATAGTTATAGACTTCCTTTTTCTAATAGCAAACTGTCGTGCTATCCAACCACGGACATGAGATTGAATAGTAGTCACAGCTCTTTTCCTTGATTCAAGAAACATAACATTTCTCCACCATCTCTGCAAATAGACTGATCATATATACCTTCCCTCCCATTACAATCCAACTAGAAAGTAGCAAAAAACAGCACACATACTTGAATGACATGGATGCAGCAGGTAATTCGTTTGGCTTGTTTCCGAGCCAACCAACCACGAACTGAGGATTGAATTGAGATAGCTGATAGTCTGATAGACTGGTGCAATAGGACCTTCCTCCACCATCTCTGTAGCCTTAAGGCTGAGTACAACACAATTTTGAGTTCAGTACTCTGGTGAGATCTTTTATGCTGACTTTGGTCAAGGCTAACAAGGCTAGTGTAGGTTTGCAGTGAAGAACCTGCATGAGTAATGTGGGTCAGTAGCCAACAAGAATGCACCAAAAGCAAGAATAAATACTAACCTAATAGTCGCTTTCTAGCGATACGTCCTCTGGCAATACGCTGAATGTCTAGTGCAGCATTGTGATACCGCCGAAAGGCCCGGCTGCACAAGTTGTGTCTGGCTATAGATTGGATTACAATGATAGCTTCAACTTGCTTTGTGAAACACATCCGCATGGTGAAACCACGCCAGTGGCTCTGGATTTTGGTTGCAGCAGATATTCTTGAGGATCTATTGTGTACAAATCTTCTATATGCAAACTGTATCTTTTGAACAGCCACTATGTCTTTGCGAAGTGAGAAATCGAGCTGAGCAGATACAGGCTGTCCATGCTGGAATGAAGCTCCACAAGATATATTGCTTCTACTATCCACATCATCCTCGCACCCAAGTTTAGTGGCTGATGCTATGCTGGCAGTCTCAATCTCACATGGGTGATGGCTGACGGAATTTACAGAGCCGCTCTTATTGATACTCCGATGAGGACTAGGAGAAGTTACATAGTTGCTGTTTTTGACACGACGCTGCAGAATAGTGACTGTATCTATATGGTTACTCTCATCAGGGCATTGAGGGGCAGCAGAAGCTATCGAGGTACCCAAATCCTTGCAAGGTGTTGTTTCATGCTCACCATCACACATTTCTATGCAATCAGTTTTCGGCGAAGCTGTAGTTTCCAAGAACCCATGGCTTTCAAAAGGCTCGATGCTCTCAGATCTCTTTCTTTCCCCAATCCAAATCCTTACAGCTTGCTGAATCACAATGGCAGATCTTCTCATTCGCACAAATCTATGCCTTTCTAATATGGAAATTAACCATCTGTTGTAGCTTCCTGGAAAGAAATGGACAGCTGGATATTAACAAGTATGGTGCGATTTCAGTGCATGAATAAGGAGCAATTAGTAAGGGAAATGTACCATTTGCTTGCACGTGGGTAGAGAAGGCGGCAGTTAGACAGCTGGATTTCCTTATCATGATAACAAATGACCAAGCTCTTATAGCACCTTGCAGGATAGATATTGACTTCCTAAGCTTATGATATCTGTTCTTTGCAATTATCCGTCTGATTTGAGCTTGTATAATTGTAGCAGCCTTCTCTGGAGAAATAGTAACATGACATTCAGTCATTCACTAGTTTGCAGAGAATCTTATGTTGCCAACAAAGCTAGAAACCATCAAACTATGGAAACCTCACAGGTATTTTTTAGCAGCAGAAAATAATGGCTAATGCATATTAAAGTATTTGTGAACAGCACTAGATAGGCATCAGAGCCTTAAAAAGTGGCAGTTTTCATCTTGTTCAATGTGAAAACAGGACAACCAGATGAAGCGATAAAGGACAAACCCTGGCTAGTGCATGAATCATCTGTGTTATCTGTCTGAGGGGATTGATACTTCACATCATTCTTTCCCGGAGATTTAAGCCTAGCAGAAACTCTATTCTCCAGGCTTTGGCAGTCCAATCTCGTACTGATCAAATTCCGTAGTTGTCCCTATACAAATCAAGTAAGGTATTGTATGCATGCTGAACAGAAATGAAAGGAGAGAAATGTGAAAGAAAGATACCAATCTTTTATCATTAGTCAGATGTGAACAAAGGAATGCAATCAAAATTATTGCACCCTTTTCATCGAATAATACATCATTGGCTAAGATGCCACTAGCTGGAAAATCCTGCACATTGCAGAAAAAGCATGAGAAACATATACCTCCTAAAATCCAAATAAATAAGATACTACCACCTGAAGAAAGTCTCCAAGAACTTCTCCTAGTTTGCTTGATGGACAGCTGG